ATTTGGCCAATCACAACGCACTGGATAGCTGGCCAATCAGAGCACACCTCTCTTTTCAGACTGATGAGCTTTGTAAAAATCGACACGTTTCAGAAAGGCGGGGCATAGAGGAGAAACAATAATGTACAGTATGTGGAAAATAATGTTTTTTTTTACCTTAAACCGCATAAACACATTTCATTACACCAAATACACAAAATAATGTTCTTTTTGGCAACATCATATGACCTCTTTAAGATTTGTACTCGTGGAAATTACTAAAGTAGTCAAACCTGTTCATTAAAATATATAAATATATAAATATATAAATATATATATATATAGTTCAGTCATGAAACTCTAGATGGCGCATTTTGACGGGGTGTTAACGTAACTGATGATATTCAGAGACTTAAACGACTTGGCACAAGCTGATTGGTTCATACTGCATATGCAGCCAATGAGCTTACTGCCTCGCATTTATATGGCTGGCTAGCATTCACTAACATTGTCATATCCATCACCATGCTAAAATGTTCAGAGAGTTGTCATGATTGAAAAATATATACAGTATAAATATATATATATATATATACACAGTGTTTCCCATTCATTAACTAGATTGTTGCGGCCCGCCACAGTCTAATCTGTCCTGCCACAGTTTCATAATAAACCGAAGATATATTTATACTTCTCATATATCATAAAAGTTCTTTAACGTTGTGTTTCACACCATTGCTTTGGCAAGTATCCGTCAAACGAATTAAAACCGAAAGCGTAATATGACTTATCAAGTCTGTTTGAGCTGCTTATTTCAAAGTGCATCCTTTGCGCACTCGATCGGCTCGTGATCCGGGGTTTTCCAAGTCTCAGAGCAATGCAACCAAATAATCCGATTGTAATCGGATTGACAGATCAATCGGACTGAAAAGCCTTCATGTAAACACCTTAATCAATCCGGTTGAGCTCGATCGGTATGAAATTTCGATCGGATTGAAGGGGGTGCTTTATTCCTGTTCTAATACTATTGAGAGTGCATGTAAACGCTCGATCGGATTGAACCCCCGAAAGGACTGCGCATGTGCAATGATGCATGACGCGAGGAGCGTTCTTCC